AAAGCTACAAGATCCTGCAACCCTAGCACACTAAACTATCTTCCTCCCACATAACTATGATATCGATTGTGACAATTTAACAACACAATCAAATAGATATCACAACATTTAGATACCCAATCTCCTACCGTTTCGAAAAATCATAATGAGTAAACAAAGTTCTTGTCATCAAATAACATCAACATATGAATTCATATGACCTAGTTAATAATGAGATGTAGTCTGATCTAGTCTGTCCGTCATGTCTTCGCGTCGGTCCGTCTGTCGTCCGCTACCCTGTCTGTCCGTCCCGATCATGATCTGTACGTCCGTACTGTCGTCCCGGTCCCCTCGATCTGTTCAAGCGTACCGTACATGATCATGTACACCCGTACCGTTCTGTTCTATACGCGTCCCGTCGTCTCCGATCCACGGATCTCCGCACCACAAAAACCCAGCCCCACCCCATCACTCGTCTGTCATAAGCGCGTCCGTCTACAGATCGTCATGCGATGCGGTCCGTCTGTCTGTCTGTACACAACCAGCAAGAAAATAGCGGCCTACCGATCATGATTCTGTACCTTTGTTTTTCTTTGTCTTTTAATTCGTTTACGGTCCGTTCTGGTCTGTCTAAGATACGGCGTCAAACCCGTCAAAATAAGTCTAAAAGGATTAAGTACGCGATACCGTCTGTCTGTCGTGTCTGGTCGTCTGGTCTGTCTGTCGGTCCGTCTGGTCTTCTGTCGGTCCGTCTGGTCTGTCTGTCGGTCCGTCTGGTCTGTCTGTCGGTCCGTCTGGTCTGTCTGTCGGTCCGTCTTGGTCTGTCTGTCGTCCGTCTGGTCTGTCTGTCGGTCCGTCTGGTCTGTCTGTCCGTCCGTCCGTCTGCGTCTGTCTGTCGGTCCGTCTGGTCTCGTGGTCGGTCCGTCGTCGTCTGTCGTCCGGTCTTGGTCTGTCTGTGGTCTCGTCCGTCTGCGTCTGGTGGTCCGCGTCCGTCCGTCCGTCCGTCGTCGGGTCCGTCCTCCGTCCGTAAAGTCCGTCTGTCGGTCCGTCCGTCCGTCTGTCGGTCCGTCCGTCCGTCCGTCTGTCGGTCCGTCCGTCTGTCTGTCGGTCCGTCCGTCTGTCTGTCCGTCCGTCTGTCTGTCCGTCCGACCGCCATTATTTACAATTTTTGGGGGGAAAACGAGCTATCTTCGCTCAATTATCTAAAATTTATGCTATTTCTGGAAAAAAAGTTTTCAAAACCCGCACGACTTTTATGAAAGTTTCTCTTTGTATGTTACAAGTATGGTAAATAAATAAACTAGTGGTTCTATGGAATTGCACAGACTTTCTCGTACTAGTTTCTTTACTAATCTCTTTAGTCTGGTGTAGCTTTTCGGTTATGCTAGAATCTCTTCCTAGATACCTTCTTTGGTCGCTTAAAAAAGACATTTTCCCACATTTTCTCAATTTTTTGACTACTTAATGCTAGAAATGAAACAATTATATCTTGACCAATATTGATGTATTCATCTCATTTTCGACCGTTTTTTGTTAATATACTCAAAAATGCACATAAAATTTCATCTCAAAGCTGCTCCTTAGCGTTATTCTCTAATAAGATCATTCACATTTACTTTCCAAAATCTGTCGCAAAATCTTCTACTACTACATTTTATTCTTCTCCGGATTTGCTTAACACTTCCGTATTTTTGTCCCCTAATTTTTTAAGATTTTTAAATTCCATAAATTCAGTCTAATTGTGTTCACTTCTACTTATGCAACTGCTCCATTTATCGTTTTGTAGGCGAATCTAGTAAACATTAGAAGGCGACTGTTTTGAATGTTTTCGGGTATGTGTTAGTTACGTTTTAATAAGAATAAGTTGTTACTCATATTCACGTGAAAATCGGTATTTGTGCGCTTAAGAATGTAAATGTGAGAAGTCAAACGTAAAAACGTTACTCACAGTTTGGTTTTCTCTCTATTTACCTGAAGTTCAAGTTCAGGAAATTCCAAGGCAGTACTGTTTGTAGGTGTTTGCAAATGTACGTTTAAAAATACGTTCATACGGATGCAAATTAAATGAAAAATTCCGCGCGGGGATTCACTTGTCCCATTCAACGTAACCTACATACTAGATCGATTTGGGTGCGTTGGTTTAATTCCCGGCATACTCACTAAGATGACTGCTCTAAAATACACAAAAACACGTTTTGGGAAATGTCTTAGAATCTTCTTGTGTTATCTGAAAACAAATGACCAGTTCCTCACCAGGAGACCGGGAATAACACCTCATACGTTTCGATTGGTGCACGGGAAGCGGTCTAACCGTGAGTGACGGAACCGCACACACGCACACTCACAGTTACTCTGTTTAAATATATTTTCCTCAAAATACAGAAAAAAAGAAAATATTTTATAATATAAGTTTGAAGATCTGCGAAATGAAATATACATATTTTTTTAAAGTTGTCCTAACTTTGGGCGGGGGGGGGGCGCCCCTTGCCCCCTTATTCTAATTTTTATGTATCAAAAAGAGAAAAATAAGTGACTGACGTAGCGAAAGTAAAATATGAAAAAGCGAAGATAGTTTATGGCTTCGAGCAGGCCAGAAGACGATGGTTAGTTGTTTTGAATTTAAGCTGACAGACAATGCAATCATCAGGAGCTGCTCACGTTGGTCTGTAATTTTTTTCTGTTGTTGTTTAAAGTTAGGAATTTTTTTTTTCATTTTAGATGTTATTTGGGGAAATTCCGTAGTAGTGTTGGGGAAAGAGCTCGCAACACGTGTAGCAACCCTGCAGCAGAGGCCACCACTTCGTCGGCCGAGTCGAAGCATCGCCACAATAATACCTAAAGCGTCTGAAATTGTCGTTTCTTTAGAACAATAGCTGTTTCTATTTAAGATGCCGTTCGCACGCATTTTTAAAAATTAACGGCCGGACCAGCTGGTTTGGGATCGCGTCACAACGTAAGACATCTTCGCACATCGCAAGGCGGTGGACTTGTTTACGTTATAGGTGCACTTTTGATAGCTCTCGACTTGTTTCCCACATATCTGAAGGTGTTTTTCCACCGTCTTTGTTCACATGAATTGTCACAGAGACCTTTTTGCTCCTACCAACCCAAGGTGCTTGAAAAAATTAGGCAGCACCCCTCCAAATTGTTCATTTGGAGTTCATTGTTGAACTCCATTCATTGTTGTGTAAGTGACCATTAAGACTTATTCTTTCAGTCTCCTTATAACATAATATCAAATGTCTTTTCTGAATCCCATATTTCCTACCCCTTACGGGCCTGCCTATGTGCACCGACTAGCGAATCATCGACAAACGATAACTACGCCTTCAGTTTGTAAATGTGTATTTCTGTCAGCAATTTTTGTTTCTGGATTGAACCAAGAATTTCAAACAAAAAGATAACTTGGAAATAGAAAACTTAATTAGCCTTTAACAGTTTGTTGTGACATTGAATCATGATTCAGTGATCTGAAATTGATCGCTTCAATCATTTGTTATTGTTCTGGTTTGGATTTAAAAGTAATACAGTAAAAAATGTATCCTGAGACGAATTGTATTTTGTATTGTAAAAAAGGAAATCATGTAAGTGTAAAGATAATTTATGAGCATTCTGCAAGGATAATGAATAAAATGTTTTCCTTACTTGTTGTAGGAAAAGTGTACAAAGGAGAAGTAAATACAGGTGAACCCGGAGAACCTTTGCAAGTAGCCATTAAAACTTTGAAGGAGAATGCCACACCAAAAACACAAGCAGATTTTCGCAGGGAAGTTGAATTGATGACTGATTTGCGACACAACAATATTGTGTGTTTGCTGGGAGTCGTAATGAAAGGAGAGCCCCTTTGCATGCTTTTTGAATATATGACTGAAGTAAGTGGTAATTCATTTACTATTCTAATTGATACTTTCAAATTTATAGTTCTAAAATGTAACTGAATGTTTACTGTGTGCGTAGATATGTATTTTTAAAAAATCTCATTTGGTGTCTCAAAACGGTTGGCTTTTGTTCTTGAAATTAAATTTGCAGTATTGGAAAGTCCTGTGGTAAGTTGGAATCGCAGAATTATTATTGTTATTGCAGAATATGTTATTGGAGCAAGTATTTGATTTGAATGCAATAGCTTCTTTTTCTTATTTCAGAAAAGTCATATTCTTATTTATAATTTTTAATTAATTGAATTTTGTTTTACATAATACGAACAAATTGAATAAAAATAACTTCCAGACAATAGTAGTTGTAGTTGGACAACAGCCATTCCAATGTTAAAATAATTAGCGCCAGAGGACTTTATCAACTGGCGATACAAAATCTCGCCATTAGCAATGATTGTCTTATGCCAAAATTATTTTCCTCCAAGCTTCCCAATCTTCCGTTGTTTTTTTTCATGTTTAATCAGAAAAGAATGTGGAAGCAAAACGTCGCCTTGTGTCTATCCGACTTAGATTTACCGAATATTAATATTCTTATATTCTAAAGAAATGCGAAATAAATTTTGAAGAGTCATAACAGCGTACATTTCGTATAACATTAAATTCTTTATACAATTTTAAATATTTTACGTTTAATATCCTGGGTTTATATATGTGTGTTTATTATCCTAATTATTATTACAGAAAGGATAATTTTACGAATTATCTGCAGAAGTAGTTGACATGTTTATATTAATGCCTAAACAACCTATCTATACTGCCCTAAACGCTATTTTGCCAATAACGTTGCACCAATACTGAAGTGTTAAACATTGCTTATATTTATTCACGACTGGAAAGCACCTAATCGTGTTTCAAGTAATTATCTGGAACGTGTGCTTGCTGAATAATAATCGTATTTGAGCGACATTTCCACGCGTGGGGCGCATGCTCAGGGACGAAAACGGAGAAAATTGGAACCAACCACTGGCTCAAGGTTGCCAGATTGGGGAATTTTATCCTCCAAATTAGGATTTTTCTTCGTTCTGGGAAAATAATAGGAAACACAAATGGACGGGGCAATGTTTGGAGATTTTGGGGGAAATTATTTTAATTCGAAAGCGAAGTAGAAATAATATTTTCTCAATTATGAATAAGAAAAAAAAACAATAAACGTTATTCCCGCTCATTTTTATGTATCAAGACAAAAGACAGTCATTGAGAAAGAAAAACATGAGAGAAACGAAGATAGTATAGGGTTTCCAGCAGCTCAAAGGACGAGGATTGGAATTATTTGAATTGAAGGGGACAGCCAATGGAATCGCCAGGGGCAGCTCAAGCCGTTGGTCCATAATTTTGATTATACTTTTCGTTGCAGAGTTGGGGATTATTTTCATTGGAGGAGTTATTTGGGGAAAGTTCGTTGTAGTGGAGGGGAAAGAGATCGCAACACACCTGACAACCCTGCACTAGCTTCCCTCGCGACATGGTGGCGAGCAGGAGCGTGAAGAACTCAATGGCACGATCTTCATAGCAAATTGAGGATGCAAATGTAGAAACTCGCTCATTGGCCTTATTAATTTGGAGTGTCGTGAACCTGACTGGTCGTATCATAAGTGACTGCCTCTCACAGATATATAGTTCTATATGCACTGCCTGACAAAAACAGTGAAGCACCCAGAAGGAGTGGTTGGAAGTGAATGGAACTACATATGCTGAAAGACATGTTGGCTTGACAGACTTTATTGAACTGATTACAATATGGGATGACAGAAGTCCCTTGGCAGATACAGATGGAATGTTGGCGCCTCCTCTGGCTACAATGCATGCCCTTGTGCGGTTCGGAATGGTGTTAAACAGCTTTCGGATCCTCTCTTCAGGCAAGTTCGTCCACAGTTTGTGTGTCTTTTCTTCCAGATCCTCCAGGTTAGTACTGTGAGAATCCCCTTCCAAAGGCATCCCACACGTGTTCAACGATGCAGATCCGCCGATCTGTCTGGAAGTCCATAGACACACATGCAGTGTGTGGGCGTGTATTATCTTGTTGGAATACTGTCCCAAGGTGTTGTGCCATGAGGGGTAGGAGATGCGAATGCCTGTGACTTATCGCTGTGCCGTCAAAGTCCCCGAAGTTTCCGAAGCACTATTGGATGTGATTTGAACGCTTATCCTGTGGCTCCCCAGACCATGATGCCCGGGGTTACGCCTGTGTGCCTCTCCACATTTTGGGCACGCCGCACACTCTTAACACGGTTGCCATCGGAGATTACGGCGAAGCGGGACTCATCACAGAACACGATGCGACGCCATTCATCCTCTGGCCATGCCTCCCGGGCGCGACACCAATCCAAACGCCGATGTCGGTGTTCTGGTGCCAGTGGCAACCGACGCATGGGGCGGAAGGACCCAAACTGGAGGATGCGGGTCGTCGAGCCACTGTGCGGGACCACTCACAGGGCGTTGTAGAGCCACCAGTACATGTTCGCTGATTCCGCTCTGCTTGACGCTCCATTCGACGGTCCTCGCTTGTGGTTGTACGCAGAGCTTGCACGACGTGCGTAAGTGCCCTCGTGTACCCACTGATTCCAACATCGGCCACTGTAACATCTGAATGGCCCACGTGTCTTGCAATTGCTCCACCAACCAGCCCAATGAATTCCCACAATGCGGCCTCTGTCGAATGCAGTTGGTGGACTGGCTGTCAAACGCGTTTGCGTGGCATCGTGCTGTAGGGATACGTCGTTCGTCACCGTCTCTAAGCAGTTCAATGATAACAGCTGCGCAAGAACTGGGTGGTCACATCACGAATGCATTCAGATGGGCGTTGTGCATATTACATATACGTGTGAATCTAATCATTTATTCTCAGACCAAATGTCTGCATTTATATCGAAATGGGATAATATTGGACCACTCCTTGTGGGTGCATCACTTTTTTGCCAGGCACGTATCTGTGCAACCTCACGTTTGCTTTTTTGGTGTAGATTTGAAAGTAAGGGCATTGGTCCATTGCTAACAAATTCTTGATAACTCTTCAACAGCAGAATATGGCGCATAATTTAGCATAAGATAAACTTGTTTCAGGGTGATTTGCACGAGTTCCTTATTTCACATTCCCCCAGAGCTGATGTTGCTGGCAGTGATGAAGGGAGTCATGTCCTTGGCCAGTCTGAGTTCCTTCATATTGCGTTACAAATTGCAACAGGTAAGTTATTTTCTTGTTAATTTATTATATTGTATAGGTTTATTCGAAAGTTCCTACTACAATGTGGCTAGCTAGCAGCAGCCAAGCCGGTGGGGTCGGAGGTGCCTGGGCGTGGTCTCCCTATCCCCCTTCCGCCACCTTAACAGTTCGCAGTTAAGTGTTAGCCCTCACTTGGATGCATTCTATTTTTTATTTTATCTGATATTTTTCCTCTTAATTGGACATACGGGTCGTGCTAAATAATTTGGATTAATTATGAGAATACAGTACAGTGATTTTATATTATAAGTTATTTGACTAAGAACTATTTACAGTGACAGATATAATAATTTAAAAATATAATTGAGTGACAATACAAACCTGGCTCTTAAAGCATTTACATTTAGTATTTTACCCTATGTACACCTTAAACCAGCTAAAGGAAATACAATGTGGGATTTTCGGCAACGCAAGAACAAGCTCTGTGGAGTATTTACGTTTACATTTATTTTGAAAACATAATGAAACTTATACTAATTATTCTACTATGTACGGTTGAGTCTACTTGGGGGGAGATGGACAATTTGCTTTTTAACCGGAGTGCGGCAGCCTTCTAAGCAATTGATGTGTGCGGCTAGCGGCGACATGTGTCGACAATGGCTAGGTTTGGCAGCACCCTTTATATTAATAGGTGACTAATATCCGAAGAAAAATCAGGGAACACACAAGGAAATATACACAATGTGGAGAAAGTATACACATTGTCATGCCAAACAATATGTTTGCGACGCGAGACCATCCAGACAAAAGGAAACTAGTGGTATTATCTCGCTTTATTTGTAACTTTTGTAATTTTTAAAAATTGAGAGTGTTATATAAAAATGAGACTTGCGCTATTTCCTTTGCGCTCTATCCGAGGGGAGAAAATGCAAAGAAAAGTTTGTAGCCGATTATTGAGGATATATAAATTGCGACACTCGCGTCGATAGCTTCAAGGTGGAGGCAATGAGGAGACGGGTCGGAGGCCCAGAGCCCCTCGGGCATTAGCTCGGGTGGCCCCCAGTTTGGCACTTTGCTTCATCGTGGCAGTGGTCCGATACTCTAGACAAAGAGGAGGGACTTGTCCCGGCGTATTGAGAGTGATGCGTAATTCGACTCCCATACTGGCTTGGAGAGCTACGAGCTCTGAGCTAGCAGGGCGGCCCGACTCAGGCATGAATGGAAAGCTTCCGGTAGTATGGGGTAACTGCGATTTGGCCGGGTCTAGAAACCAAACTGAAGGTGTTCTAACGTTGGATGGGGGTGCGGATGAAATACCAGTTTCCTAGGTGCCTACCCGCGAACAATCCTGGTAGAACAAGAAATTGTGTGGAGTTGCCGGACATGCCGGGTGACCGGTCGGAAGCTTAGTGCTTGTCCCGGGTAGGGATGCCTCGCTGGTGGGAGATACCTGGTTGGGAAAACCCCGCTAGCCGTCGGTAGGTCGGCGCTAGATCTCTCCATACAGCGGGAGAAAGATCACCACCACCACCACCTTCCGAGCAAACATACACTACACATACGGAACTAATGACTAATAGTTGACGTGACCGGAATCACTAACAATCAATCAATCGAAAAATCGCCGATTTATACCGTAGCATTACAATGTTGCCTCTGTACTATTCTGTTCTGAACGGTTGTGTTTGCCGATGACACGAATGTTCTATGCAAAAAAGAAACAATAAATAGTACGATTTTAGAAGTTTCAAATTGGTTTTGTAATAACAAATTAATAGTTAATGAAAAACAGTTTCAATGCATTTTTGTATTTCATATCAGCAAGCTCATGCTCCATTGAAAATGAAAAATATACAATTAGCTAATGTTCTGGTAACAAAATTTCTAGGTCTCTCAATTCAGTCAAACCTCAAATGGAATGTACATATAAGAAAATTAAACACTAAATTATGTTCATTATGTTACGCATTCAGAATTCTATCAAATTTTGTCAGCCTTCATGGAGCTTGTTGCGTGTATTTTGCAAATGTACATTCCCGCCTGATATATGGTATACTATTCTGAGCAAACTCATTATGTAGTACTCAGACCTTTAGATTGCAAAAGAAACTTATTCGAATAATGAAAAAATGCCATCCACGTTACCCTTGCAAGCCTCTCTTCATTGAGCTTTGAATCTTACCACTGCCTTGCCTATATATTTACGAATCTGTAATATTTGTCAGAAGTGACTAACGGTGGGTACATATTTTCATGCAATACTGATATTTATCATTACAACACACGAATTTAAGTTCACAAATTTAAGTTAAAAGTCAATTTTTTTCTGCTGCATAACTGTTTCTATACAATTAGAGACTATAATGATTACCAAAAAGAAAAATAATGTTTATTCTAACAAAATGGTGATTCATAATGAATTAGTTTACATTTTTATTGTATATTTTTTTTAAAGACTTAATATGTTTGTAATAAATAATGTATCTCAGCTTCCGGGTCAATGACCCCCATCTCGATCAGGTTTTGTCCAGTTTCCCTGATCCATTGAGCAAATGCTGAGATGGCCCCTTGTTTTGCTTATAGACGAAAATGTAGCTTCACTAAGCGTACGTTTTGTTGAACTCTTCTTTTGCTTGTAATGGTAAGAATAGAGGTAAGGGCGAGTTGCTAGTTTGTTAGCAATGCAGAAAAATCATACTTGCAATTCGTATGTTGTGTACAAGTACAACAAGTTTTCTATAACTCGGAAACAAAAACTACTATTTTTCAAATATTTCTAATCTTGCAATTTTTAAAATTAATTTTTATTTATGTTAAACTTGTACTCATCTTTTAACTATTTATAGTTAATATGAGGGGAAGGGATTCTGGAACTCAAGAAAAAGTGCGTAAATAATCTTCTCCCCCTACGTCACATACAATTTTTACTGTTTTATACTGAAGAAATCTAAATCTAAATATACTTAGAAAAAGGAACCTAATGGTGACTGGCTGAAAATGACTTTTTTAAGTCTATATTTTTTTAACATTTCATATAAAAGATAAATCTCTATCTTCTATAATATTCTTTTGCAATGTTGATATTTTACCATTTTCGAAAATACAGAGGTCGCAGAAAATAGGACCAGCACCAATTTGTTACCGTCCTTTGATACATATCAAGAGAAAATTTAAAGAAAAAGTTTGGAGCCTTTTTTCAGAATTTTTTGTAATTGCCTATATTTGACACACAAAAAATACTTGTTTTCGAAAAATTATAACCTTATTTGAAGAGTTGTCTTTGATCAACAGATGTTATTAAGGGGAAATCTGTATCTTGAATATTGTAGTTGAAAGAAGAAGCCGAAAAAAATTAAAACTGTGGCAATGTTAGAAAAATAACGGATTTCAACGAAATAAGACTTGCGTCAATCTTTTAAGCGTTTTTTACGCTTTTTGAAGACAGTGTGTAATCAAAACATTTGAAGCCATTTTTCGAGAAAACGTTGAAAATGGTCTGGAGGTTTCATGTAAAATACCACCCAAAATCAAAATATCGGTTTTAAAGCAGCAGGGCCTTCAACTCGTTTAGATTGATTGGGCTATATCAATTTTGGAGTAAGTGTGTGGTCTGAACGGTACGCGCTAGCGTTGACCACGGATCAAGAACCCCATAAAACACCTGTCTACACGTGTCGATGCGTGTTAGAGGTAGTAATTTACTTCTTGTAGAAACAAGATTTTTCGTTACCTGCAGCCTGTCAATAAGAGTTTTTCTGTCGAAAAATCTCCGACATCCTGCGCAGGATTTCAATACATTCTGTTCTAACGAAGTAAGGCGAGAAAGTAAAATTAGGTATTAATTGGCTATAATTGAGTAGGTTCAGTGGGGACTGTATCCCCACTGTACCTAAGCTATCCGAAAAGGGGGACGCGTCGCCCAGCTATCGCACACTTTACGCAGTTGCCGAAAATCTGGCCAAAATATAGAAAAATGCCTAAAATATTGTTTGAAAATTTGTAAGCAAAGGTTTTAGAGATCGCTGATTAAGCATATGAAATTACATTTTCGAAAAACAAAGTAGCGGATTAAAATTGTTTAAAAGTCCTTTGAAAATGATAATTTGTGTACCTAATTCTCGAGGTTGCTGTTTAAGAATATTAATTTACATTTTGAAAAGCAAAAAGACGGATTCAGTAAGGGGGAACCAGACGACATTTTCAACATAATGCCTAAAACAATACATTTTTTTTGAACAAACATATCTGTGTTACTCGTATATAACGTTCCACCAGTTTAGAAAATGATTACTATGACACAGATTTTACATTGAGGAGTTTTACTAATTGATCTTAAGTTGTCTTAAAGCTTGAATCACTGTTGCTAATCGTGAACCAATAATATATGGTGGTAATATTGGTTCTGAATATCAGGTGAAATATTTAAAGTTAATCCCCGCCCCCCAAAAAAGACAATGAGGAAATATTTAATGCTCATGAAACTTAATTTCAAGGAAAATACCAAAATCTGTAAAATATCGCATCTCTCGGAAACATGATCAACAACTTGTTCAAGTTGATATCCGCTACAGTAGTCTTTGGTTTACACGAATTCCAAGTGACCGAAACAATTAGTAATATTATACAAATTCATATTATTCTTTTATGATGTACAGACATTACTAAGTTTTCTTGCCGAGACTCAAATGATGTTCGGTTTACTGCGAAATGTTAAGCGAGATCGTGCTAGCAAGGGATTACTGTATAATGTGAAATAAATGTTTAATGTATGTAGATAAAACGTTTGATTTTGTTTTCATTTTTACTTTCTCGTCCTTACATCGTATGAAGAGAAAATATTGTAATTCTGCGCTGGAAAACGGCGAATTTTTCTTCTTCTGCTTCTTCTGCTTGTGCTTCTTCTTCTTCTGCTTCTTCTTCTTCTTCTTCTTCTTCTTCTGCTTCTTCTGCTTCTTCTCCTTCTGCTTGTGCTTCTGCTTCTTCTTCTGCTGCTTGTGCTTCTGCTTCTGCTTCCTCTTCTTCTTCTTCTTCTGCTTCTTCTCCTTCTGCTTGTGCTACTGCTTCTTCTCCTTCTGCTTGTGCTACTGCTTCTTCTTCTTCTTCTTCTTCTTCTTCTTCTTCTTCTTCTTCCGCTGCTGCTTCTTCTTCCGCTGCTGCTTCTTCTTCCGCTGCTGCTTCTTCTTCCGCTGCTGCTTCTTCTTCCGCTGCTGCTTCTTCTTCCGCTGCTGCTTCTTCTTCCGCTGCTGCTTCTTCTTCCGCTGCTGCTTCTTCTTCTTCCGCTGCTGCTTCTTCTTCTTCCGCTGCTGCTTCTTCTTCTTCTGCTGCTGCTTCTTCTTCTTCTGCTGCTGCTTCTTCTTCTTCTGCTGCTGCTTCTTCTGCTGCTGCTTCTTCTACTTCTGCTTCTTCTGCTTGTGCTTCTTCTGCTTGTGCTTCTGCTTCTGCTATCTCGTTTTTGTCAAAATCTCTGAATTTTTGAAAATTGATAGAGTTCAAAATTTATTCGGGTTTGTACTACAACTAAAATTTTGAAGGTAATGACATTTTTCTTTAATGTAATCTTTTCTATAAAATACAAAGACTGAACTAAAATAATGTCATGTTAATTTTTCGAAAATATGAGTTGTTTTGCGTGAAATATAGGCAATTTTTAAACAATTCTTTTCTGAAAAACAGCTCCAAACTTTTCGCTTTAAATTTTCTCTTCATAGTATCGTGACACTAAAAGGCACAAAGGGAAAGAAGAAGATGAATCAAGAACGTTTTAAAAAATGGTGCTGGTCCCATTTCCAGTGAACTTGCTGTATTTTCAAAAATTCCAAAAACTTGGCAAAACTACAAATTTAATGATTGAAATTTTTGCCTGCAATAAAATTGTTCTAAAATATCAGATCTTTAAAAAAGACCCTGTACAATTCTTTGAAAAAGTAGTAGTTGTTGCGCAATATCTGTTTAAATTAATGCGAAAATAAAAAAAATAAGAAGCATTTTCTCACACAATGCTCCAAATTTTTTCATCACATTTTTTCGTTGATAGATCAAGGAATGCTGATATTTTGTATATCAACTGTAAAATTGTGTGTTTAATGGTGCTACACCATCTAAGGACACTTTTCCAAATTTTGTTTTTCTTTCAAAAATGTAAATGTTTTATGTCATTGATATAAAGGAAGTGTTTTGATCCTGTTAATGTTTCTTTATATAGTAATTACATATTTTGAAGACATAAAAAAGTAAAAACAAGAATGATTTGTGTTTCAAATTAATTAAAATGTTCATAAGTTCAGCTGTCTCATCTATCCCTCTCGTATTGCTTGTTTATATAATATTTTATGCATTTCATGTTTATTTTTATAATTTCACAACAGTTGAATGGATTATTTTGTTTCTTCATTTCATTTCATCTTGTTTCTTACTAGGTATGGAGTACCTCTCAAGTCATCATTATGTTCATAGAGATCTAGCAGCACGTAATTGTCTAGTTGGAGACAATTTAACTGTTAAAATATCTGACTTTGGTCTTTCAAGAGATATTTATTCATCAGATTATTACAGGTAAGATTTTAGCTTCTAAAACCACATTTGTAAAGACAAAAAAAAGTAAAACTAGTTTTAAGTGGTCTCAGATGGTTTTGGAGAAAAGTTACCCTTAGTTTATCTACCTGAACTAAAGATGAGGGGAATGGAGGTTATGATAATATGGGATTGACCATTTGGACTGATTTTGCTATTTGCAGTGAAGTTAGTACGAATTGCTCATTATGCAAGATTGATCATGTGTGGTTTTCTTTACTATTGAATGCACATTTAATTCATTTTTAATTACACTTAATCTTCAAAAAACTGGAAACTTTAACTGTTGCATGCCAATGGAGAGAGGGGGTCAATGAAGGACCCCAGCTTCATTTTTTCCTTTATCTTTGTTTAGGTAAGTTACTGTTTGATGAAACAATAGTCCTAAATGATGATTTAGGATATTAGAACCTGTAAGTGATAGTTTTAACGATCTTTTAATGATTATCAGACGACAATTGGAAATTCTTACCATGCATAATCAAGTAATAAAGTAGTATGAAGAATAAAGAAACTCACTGAGTAAGTTCATCTCAAAGAAGTTATATTATCGGGGGTACCCTTTGTGCAATTTGATGTGGAATGATTCGTATGACTTTGTATTATGTAAAAATTAAAATATTTTAACATAAAGTTGCAGGAATTATATCATATATTGCACTATTTAAATCATTTCGTGGCAAAGCGTGTGGAGTCCTATGATACTGAAAAAGTGTAAGGTACTGAAAAAGCGAGAGCAAGGTCTACAAATTGTGGGGTTGATTGCTTATTCACTCATAGTTGCTCTGTCTGTTTTCTTTTGTCTTTTCATCCTTTCCTCAGGTCTCTCAATTCCTCTCTTTGCATTGGAATCAAGTCTTTGTAATGTCATTCTGCCAGGTAACCCACTACAATGCTTTAGAATAGCTTTGGCTTGGGAGGGGGGTTTCCAGAAGCCTTTGAAGTGTCCTGATCAGAGTTTGGTTTTCCTGTTTTACCTTATCACCTTGATATTCTAGTTCTTTGTCAATTTTTGTTATTCTCTAAACTTATTTTAAAGATCTTATTGCTATTCCTTAAGAAGGTAAGTCAGTTGTAAGCTTGGTTATAGTTTTGAAAATCTTCTTAACATAATTTTTAATACATTTAATACTTTCTCTTTGACTCTTGGCAAGTTAAGATGTGATCAGTTCCTCAAAAAATGCAAATTTTTTATCAAGTCATTTCATGTTTTTTCCCTCCTTGTTTAGTTTCTTTAAATTTAAATTCAACAGTTGCCAGAGGTATGTTCTAAGTTTCTGATTCAAAAAATTGTCAAATTAGATCTGATTCCAGTTGTCAAACCCTTCACTCTGTGTGAATGGCCATCACTTGTGTGGCCATTGCTTTATAAAATTCTTTAATGATTTTCATTGCTTGTTAATTTTAAGAATTAATTTAAATCAAATTTTAATTTTAAGAATTTTTTTAGTAGTACTACGTACTTGTGATTCACCTTATTAATTTATTAGATATTTGATCATTCTTTTACGAAATATTTTCACCTCGGTAGGTGGAATGTTAACTGCTTAATTAGAGATTAAGTAATATTGTATGATGTTACTTACGATGTTATTCTTTGCAGGGTTCAATCCAAATCTCTCCTTCCTGTGAGATGGATGCCACCTGAGTCAATTTTGTATGGTAAATTCACCACTGAATCAGATGTATGGAGTTTTGGTGTTGTATTGTGGGAAATATATAGTTATGGATTACAGGTACTTATTTCCATTTTATTTGCATTCTATTAAACTTTCTGTAAATCATGCTGACATAGTCATAATTAATTACATGTTTAATATGTATATGCATGTGCATAGGCGTGTCTGTATATGGCTGGGTGTGTGTATGTGTGTGTTCGTGCCTGCATGAATTATTAACATTATGAAATGAAGAGTTTGCTCCATACTGTATGAACATTGGGTCAACATCTTAACCACAAACCCACTAATGAATTGATTAGTCAGCAAATTGGCTAATCAGGGAGTAACTACCCAAATAAATGTATCCACTAGTATTTAAAATTTAGCAATCTGCCATGATGTATCACAAGTTGTCAGTTATTTCATGATTTCTCTTGTAATTATGCTTCTAATATATATCTTTGAAATTTTCAGCCATACTATGGCTATAGTAATCAAGAAGTTATCGACATGATTCGATCACGGCAATTACTCCCATGTCCTGAAGACTGCCCTTCAGGATTGTACAGTCTCATGATCGAGTGCTGGCATGAAATTCCTAATCGTCGTCCCCAGTTTCCTGAGATCAATTCACGGTTACGTTCGTGGTGGTCTAATTTACCCAATAAGGAGTGTGATGATAAATTATCTGTTCCAACAAATGCTTCAGAACGAATTGTGGCATCAACTTCATGTTTTAATCCGTGTCCAACTACAACTGTGCTTCACACTGGGAGTTTGCCATCGAACTATTTGCAACAACATGCTCCTATGCAGCACATTCAAAATCAAATTCACTCTTCGCAAATGAGTAATAGTCACCATGTACTTCCTGGTTATTATCAGTTTCAAGGTTCAAAACCTGTGGCTATGTACCAGAGACATGGAAATAGAGCTAAAACTTACAGTGCTGGAGTATCAAATTCTCCAATTCATCACCAAGGTCATACTTCCTTTGGAACAACAGTGCCAATGCCTGCACAATTGATTGTGCGACTACCGTCACAGTATAATAGAAGTAGTAATGGTATAGAATCAAAAATATCTAATATTTGATAAAACTGAAGTACTATTTTTACTCATAAGTGTATTTTCAATGTAATATGATTTCATGTATGGAATGAGGCTTTCTTGTACATGTTTTTCAAAATTGTTTTCAAAGTAGGTGAATAATTATTATGCATCAGTCCATCCAAAATTAAAGTTAAATGTACCTTTGTAATATAACATATCATGTGTATGGACAATAGAGATTTTGGAGACACCAATCAATCTTCCATATATTATTACTTTAAAATTATGTTGAGTGTATTGTTGGTTGTATTGAGTGAAAGCCTCATTTTCACATTGTGTCATGAGGGAACCACAGTACAGTGCTGTGATGTTTGATGTGAAACTGTCAGCACTTTCTGGTTTGTGGTCCACATGTATCTCATTTGTAAAGTGGTATGTAATGTAGGTTTGTTTGGAAAATAAATGTGCCCATTTAACTTTTGCAATGGTGTGTACTCTTACATTGTTATTAATGGAAAGTTTTATTACGATTAATTCAGAAAAATTAGATGACACTCTCAACACTGTTCATTTATGAGTGCTTGACATCTTTTAGGTTTTGTTATGTTTTAATTTTATTATTCTGTATTATATAAAAAAGGAGCAATCAGTTTTGGTGTGAGTGTATGAATGTATGACTTTGAAATATAGAGAGAGAAGAAGAAGAAGAAAAGAGATGAGATGAGATACATGTATGTTCAGTAGTTATCTCCTTATATCTTGAAATTGTGATAGCATTTTCTTTGTATTTATTTAATTATATCTACCTTCAAAGATTATGTGATGTAGAGTAATGTTTGTAGGTACTGAATTTGCTTATTGTGTTATTTTTATTATGAGCAGTAGTTAGGGATCCCATATGTCCCAGTTTTCCTGGGATAATCCGGATTTTAATCTTTGTCCCGGAGACTCACTAAATTATTTTGGCATGCCAAAATTTCTCAAGTTTTTACAAATACAAAAGTATTCAATATGTTCTAATAAAATGTACAGTTATTTTGAATCTGAGACTTCAAATTTCCTAATGAATTGTTGGTCTCCCGGACAAGGATTTTTTAGAAAGATTTGTTCGTTCATTTGCGTCATTCCTTTTTGTTTACATATATAGTGGTGTAAAATTGTTCATTTTCGAAATAATTGTTGGCAATTTAATGAAATATTATTTTAATACAAAAACAGCAAAATCCTCAAGAGAAAGTATGTTTTCAGTGAAAATTAATAGGCGCAGTTCCCATTTATAAAAGAAACTACTGACTGTTCCAAAGACAAAGTGGAATGTGATATCTGCCATGCAGTATTTAACTTTTAACATTTTTTAACAGTTTTTTCATAATTAGTCTTAGTTTTATAATTGTCAGTTCATTACTATCATAATGATCTGTTTTTAAACACACTGAAAGAAGAAAATTATTCTGTGTTCATAGAGTATTCGGAATAATGGTATTCTGTTTCATGTAAGATCTTCCCTCAATTATAATTGTGTGTGTTGTGTTCTAGTTTTTGAGTTTAAAAATATGGGTTCCCTAGCAATAGTGAATGAAGAAGGGACAATTCAGCCTTCAGCCAAATATAATTACCTTCTTTCTTACCTTGACATTCTCCTCTCTCTGGCATGGTATTATTCTTGAGGTTTAGGATATTGTCAAAGTAATGACTGATTTTATATTTCTATACACTGAGTAAATGATGTAGTAGTTTGAAGCATTCAGAACAGAATTTTGTTGTCATATGGTCAGCTTGCACAATATTTCTCCTCTTTCCTTTTCTTGGATCTTCTTGGAAGACTACTGCATGGGGAATGAATTCCCTTACTTCTTCAGAGTTTTAACCTTGTTCATATTAAAGTTACAAAAAGTGCACAACTATTTTTAGTCTATTGCCGTTCAGTATATTGTGTTCTGTTATTAATTACAATTTACTGAGAAGAAGACAATGGAACTAGGATGAGAGAAATTCATAGAATTAGCAGGTATCTTAATTTTTGGGAGCAAGTTATGAAGTATGGTATGTGTTAAAATATGTCAGTGAAAATATTTAGAGCCTATCTTCTTCTTCACAGGAGCAAGTGATATCTTATTTAGTCATGTTTTCTCCCTGAGTGGTATCGTCTCATGAAATCTGTAGTATTGTATTAAATAGGCAGTCATATGCTTTTGCAGGAGTCTCTTGTTTTATGTCATGTTTCATTTCTCATAATCTATTCTATCAAGTAATTGTTCTAAAATCACAATTCTCTCATTACTGCCACTTGCTGATCAACCGTATATATGAACTTGTGAGTGATCATTGATCTGTTCCTTTATGTAACAAAATCAAGAATTGTGCATACAGTTTAATAAGTATGTCCTTTTGCATTCATGATCTTCCTAAATACTTTAATGTATTATGAATTTGTAAATGTTATGAAATTGAAGGCTGGATTCTCAAAGGTGTTAAGCACCAAAAATGCTATTTGCTGTTTATTGAGAAAATATGGTACGATGAAACCCTTTAAGTTTCTAATTCTTGGGGCCCTACATTCCCATCAGCTCTCTCTTTAATCCCACTGATGCATCACCATGGTGTGCTCCCAACACATTTAATTTGTAAGATTTGGGGCACAAAAATTTGCATTTTGTTTAGAAATAGACAAAACATCTGTGGTTCACAATAACTGTTTTATCAAGCAATCCGTTAAATAAATTGTCTAACGAACTGAAATAACTACAATAAAGAAAATAGAAATTTACATGTTTCCCAATCAATGTTCTCTCTTGGATGGCGACCTCTGTATTTGACTAAAATTTTGGAGGAGTTAGAAATCAAACTGAAGTTCTCTGCTGGTTGCTGACCCAGCTTTGATGATTCACAAGGAAAGGCATCAATTTAGTTTACGTCAATTTACCTTTAACCAGTTAATAATGTTAATTAATAATGTAATAAACTATCTAACAAACTGAAATTACACAATGCCCATTACAAACATAATTATCTATTCCACAATTGTGTGCAGCCTGTCAAACTTCACATAACATAAGAGCTCAGAAAAGTACAAAAAATATAAGTGGTGTGACTTGACTCACACAAATAAAAGTGAATGTGACTGAACATCAGAGTGAAAGACCAGTTTTTCAATATTGAGCTCCACTTGACAGAGCACTAAGGATTAAATAGATTCTCATGCTTTCTTGAACAAATTATTGTCATATATCTTGCTTGAACAAGTAATCAAGGTTTAATGAAGTGATAATGACCTTTCCTCATCATCTTCTTCAAGAATGCCTGAAATGTTTCAATTCAAATCATTTTCATAACATACTGCTTGTAGTAGGTAGCTTTGATACTTAACCCCTTGGAGAATTCCAGTCCTGAGATGTACTTTTCAAGCCATACCACTGAATCCAAAAATGTGATCCTACAGAATAGTGTGAGCTTTGTTCATTCTGTTCCTGTACAATATTGTCAATGTTTTGGTTCTATGTCATTGTTCAGAGCTTGAATGCATAATTCAAATAATGTTGCAGAAATATTTTATCATTTCTGACAAAGAGGAATTGCCTTGTGGATGGTCAAGAAGTCGTGGACCCCTTTTTGATGCTTACATCTGAATTGAAATCGACATTCTTATCAAGCCTTTGGTTAGTAGTTCTGTTCTCTATCATTATATTGGAGATATGTCAATGCACATATGTTTATTTTATGTGTACATTATGTAGAGTATATGAATATTTTAATAAGTGCTTTAAGCCCACAGCAATTATTGTTATTGTTATTATTTTTAGTAATAGTAGATGTAGCAATAGTAATAATTGTATTCTTTACTTGTCTGTTTACCAAAGAGACAATTTATTTCTATTGTCAAACAACCTTGTATTTTCAAACACCAAGAAAAAAGTTGAATAATTTTATTTTTGGAAAGTTAGTAACTCAACTTGAAAAATTGGCTTTGAATACTTTCAAAGACACGCATTTTTCCCAAACTTTAGAATATAATTTTTAAATGTCAAGTAGGCAAAGAATATTGATTGCTGATTGGAGATATTGTTGATTTGTATGTGAACGTAAAGTAGGTAATCTCGGGGAAACAATTTTCTCATGTTTCATATATTCTCATGAATGAAAAACATGAAATTTTAAAATACAAATTCCCCCTCTTTTTATCAGGAAATCAGTCATTGCAGCAATACATAATTTAAGTTCAGTATATAAATTCGTATATTTTTGTAATGCATTTGCCTTGCAATATAAATCAAATGGATTAAAAAAGGATAAATACTCTGGGCAGGTTAAAGTGCACTTTGTACCTTAAAAATGATTTATTTAAAAAAGTACTGTGAATAAGTGGATCACAGGTGTTCTTATTACATGAAATAGCATGTAGAACAAAACTTTATTTGGCAGAAGTATAACAATTGTAAAATCAAAATTAGGTTAAATAAGGGTACTAATAGTAGTTCTGTACTTTAATATCATATCAAAATTAATCAAGATGAAAGGTCAAGGTAAAAATCAATATAATTAAGGAGCAAAAGTCACAGTGAGTTGATTTTATCCATATCTGATTTGGGAGTAACTTACCAATAATACGTTCGTAGGCTTCTGCGGCCCGAGTCAATACATTCTTGGCTATCCGGAATGAGCCGTGCCTCGGACCATTGTGCTGACGTTTCGGCTGTCTTGCTTTGGCCTTCTTCAAAGCTATACTGCTGATGTATAGCTCTGAGGAAGGCCACAGGTCAGTACAATTAACCAAGACACGGCTCATCGTGGTTAGTCAAAAATGTACTAACTTACCACTAATGTTTCTGTGCACTCTTTACTATGTTGCATTGTGTATTTCTTCTCTGATTAGCATCCAAACTCTAATGCTGTACATCTTGATATGCTGTTGCCTTGGGAATACATTATCTGCAATAAATATATGCATATGCAATGTAATGGTGCCTGTCTGTTTCATTACTGAGCCCATTAGGAAGCACGTTTTATGGGCAACAAATAAAGAGTACTACCCAACTAGGCAAGTCATGACAACATCAGCATCGCTAAATTGCTGTGAATCATTCGTGATCTGAATATTTTGGTACAGTAGATAGGAAACAAAGGATCAATGGTAAAATTAGCATTGAACAGTGATGTCTAATCAAACAATAAATACAATTAATTTTATAAGTCCATGTTATTTAAAATGTATTTATTATGAACAGCTGTATGCCTTAATGCCCATTACTTGTCTGATAGGCTTTTACCTTTATTCACTCGGATACTCAGTGGCTGCCTTTCAATTCTACCTCATTGTCTTTGATGGTCTGGGAGCTCCCAGAAGGCTTCAGTCTTCCACAATCCTTAATGGCATACACAAGTTAATTTACTTTTCTCTTTCCCAAGCAATCTGTAAATTGAACAAAAACTGCTTATTGAGTACTAGAGTAAAGGCATTGATAGTGGCCACTGCTTCAGTACCACTTGAAGCACAACATTTGAAAAATAATTGGTGGAAGCATACCACTGACTTCGAACGTGCAGAAAGTGGAGCTTACATCTTCAAGTGGTAGAGATAACAAAAGAGAATTTATTACTTTTTCCCCTATTTTATATTTAGAGAATTAGTTGAAAACATTTTATTACTATTGACATTGCTATAATGTTATCTGAACTAATTCTATTCTGGACTAACAACTAATGTTCAGTGGGTACAATACCGAGGGGACGTTATCTGAATATTACGAAAAGGTTGCAATTTTCAAATTACCACTACTAGAACAAAATCAATGTTTGGAAATAAATTTAAAAAATACTAGTTGAAAATTGGCCATTTTCAGGAGATCTACTCAGAAAGAAGTATGCTAATTGCTTATTGAGTTTCACATAACTAATATAACCCAAGAATTTTAAGAAATCTACAAAAATATTCTTAACTATATCCACTGCTGGTGCTTTTACCTTAGATATGAATCATTTCAATATTTTTTTTCCTTTCATTTGCACTCTAAAGTAGGAAATTTCATGGATTTACACTGGCATCCTCAGCTTTCTTCAATGGTTTCCAGAGCTCAAAGTTCAGTCATTCTATTTGCCTCTGTATCATTGCTTATTTCCCATTCTATCATTAGTAGTTCATTGTGATTTCCATATATGGTAACATTGTAGCCTACTTTCCATAAATAAAAAGATATTTTAGACAGTGTTTTTCAAGTTGTATCCTTGTGCATTGACTCCATATACTGTTCTGAAATTGATTTATCTTTTCCTTTGTGTATCGTTACTAAAACATTAGCCCCTTTTCTGATGTTTCCTTATTAGTTTTATGAATTCAAACTTTCAGATTATGCAATTTGTTTTACATATATTTTTTAATGTATTATGAAATTGATGTATCACTGCACTTCTCCGGTTGCATTATCTATTCCATTTTCAGAGAAAATTTACACCACTGATAAATAAACACATTTACATGCATATGTGATACATATGCATGTAAATGTGTTTATGTATCACATATGCATGCATACATGCCTATCTTCTTTGAGTTTTATGTATGTATGAAGTGTTCTTTTTGCATGTACACACACACACAGTTTACATACACATGTAAATACATTCGTACATACATGTATACACGTACACAAGGCAAGGTGCCAGGTGTGGTCAAATAAGATTAATGCCGTTGGTTCAGTAACTTTCATTATGCTAGCTGTGGATCATAATGAACGAATGTTCTCTGAAGCTTATGCATCAAATACCTTGACCTCCCAAGTCAGCATTATTTTCCTTAATGTTACTGCTGCTTGATTGCGGTTGCCTTAAATTGCTAATGTTCCATAATGCTTTCATTTATGGCCATTATCAAGGAATATAGTCAACTGATACCAATTCTTACCCTTTTTTCAAATTTGTTTTTATTCCTTGATTAGGAGTTACATCCAAAATGTTTCTGAATTGATTTTATTATTTCTGACGTGACTACATTTATCCTTTTTTGAGCTGACTTCATCATCTCTTCTGAATACAATTTAGCTAGCATTTATGTTTTCATATATTGAGTTTGGTGGTTGCTCCTTTGTGACCAAAGCAAGCAATGTGAGTAATTGATGATCTAAACGCAAAATACTAATTTTTATTTTAACATTTGATATCAAAATATATTATGGAAATAAAATCTTCAATGCAATGTATTGATTGTAATGAGTGTAATACAATATGTACTTTTTTCTCTGTATGTAAGTTTAAAGGAATATTATAATGATTCTGATAAATTTTTCGGATAATGTGTAAATATGTTGGCCTGAAATGGTCTTGGTAAAATCATATTATTGCTAGTCACAGCAGTCTTTTTTAATTGTGTGTGTTTAAAGTGAAATGGATGTACATTTTTCCATTAAAAGAAGTATGTATTTCTAGAGTTTTTCTTTATTTTTGGTTTTGTTTTTTATTCATTCACATTTGATTAAAATTTCAATCTTATAATATGACTTTTGATGATACATCTTACTAATATTTTCCTACATGTTGTGATACACTTTGTCAGGAAATTGTTTACAAAGGATTAGTTAAAAATGTGTTTGTGAAAGGGGAGTTAGTAATGTGTTTTGGTAATAGGAGGTTTCTCGTAACTACAGTTGCATTCATTTTAATGGAAAAATTTCAATGTATTCCATTTTAGCAGTGTCAAACTGAAAAATGTACATCGTTTTCACTCATTATGTGGTAAATTAATTTTTATCTTTAGTATTGATTATTTATTTTGTTTATTTATTTATTTTCAATTAAATGCATGAAGTAAAAATATGAAAAATTTTTGTCTTTTATCTTTTCCAAGTTTCTACCTTTGCCTTCCTTAAATTCTGAAAAGAGAAGTAGTCATTCTAATATTTTGTGTAAAGTTCACTTCTTCATTCTATTACTTATAATGTGTATTAATGTGTCATCAATGAAGTTTACTTTTAATGAAAAAAAATTGTGATTATTGCGCATGAACAGTACTTCCATGTTCATTTATAATTTTTTACATGAACTTAAACTTTCCTTTCGACTGTGAGTGTGCTGTAATCTCCCAACTCGTGATAAATGCTTCTTAATGCATTTTTTTAAGTTTTTTGTTTGATCAACTTATTGTAATTTCAACTCTCACTTGCATTTATGCCAGTGCCTCCATAGACAATCTACATGATTTCAAACTGCTCTTCCACTTAGATTTCATACTTTCTACTTATATCAACATGTTAACATAATTTAATATGAAAATCTTTCAACAGTGTACCACTTGGTAGTACCTTTGGGGCTTCCTTCACTTTTGGTGTAAATTGGTTCAGAAGTTGTGAAATCTTGAAATTTTCCTAAATTTTTAATTGTGTGGAGTTTTAATCTTCGGGGTTGTTAGGATATTAAATGATAGGCCAATATCAAGATTAACATTTTAGTAGGCTGTAATTATGTACTTAATGAAACTCTTTATTTTCTTGAATCTTTCTGGATGAATCTCCTTAATTCTCAATAAAATGTTCTCCTTTTCTTGCTTCATTGGAACCGTTTAAATGAAAGTCAGTTTATGTATGTGTGCCAACTTGAGTTAGCTCTACAAAGTATGAGAGAATATGAACAAATTAAAGAATGTGAAATTTCTTGGGTTTTAGGAAGAGAAAAATTACATGAATTGATATTAACACATATTATATTTATGCATTAAAGAGAGTTGTCATGTTATGTACTTTTATGGATACAGTTTGCAGTTTTACTTTTGCAATTCTGACAATGCCATTCAAATAATGTCTGTATTTCATGCATAATTATTTCTCCAGAAAACCTCTTCTTTCTCTTCTATTATTGCAGTTCTCATTGAAGTATGATTTTACAAGTTCAGCTGCTTGACCATCCTTTTGCAAACAAGGTTTTTAACTTAGCATTTTGCATAAAGATAAACCTGTTAAAAATATAGCCTTTTTGATTTCACTGCCAGTATCTCAGAAATTCTTCCAAACCCTATTCTTAATAGTTAGATTTGTGACTTTTACATCAATAGTATTTTTCCACTAATTCTCTTCCTGTTCAAGAGTGATGTCATCAAAAACTAAGCACAATATTTTCACTTAATTCTAAATGGAGGTGGTGATTGTATTTTCTGTTCAGGAAGCCACGATAACTAATACAGTAAAAGTTAATATTCTGATTTCTTTGATGTTTAATATAAAGTTATTTTTCTTTGATCACAGCAATGCATATTATTGGAGAATACAATAACAATATAATCGTGGCAAATTATGTTAATATCTTATAAAGCTACAACTTTGAAAATCTACTGTGTGCTTTTGAAGAACTTCAGAATGTGCATCTCAATGTTATTACTAAATTTGAGCCATTAAGGTGGGGATGGTCAAAAAATTAGTAAATAGGTCTTTTTGTAGGTACAAAAGTATCATCTAAATATAAAACAAATTACTAGCATTTTTGAAAATAGTCCCTTTAAGTCTTCCATGTGTCTGACAATGATCTGGAAGGTATTGAATAGTGTTGGCTGTGTAATATGATGATGTTTGTCATTAAGATGTCTTCATTGTTTGCGTAACTTCACATCCCGTGTTTTTTTCTGTATCAGAATGTATTCTTAGACACATACTAGATCGTATTATGTAATACTGTGAGGAAGCACTTTATGTAATACTGTGAGGAAGTTTTTTTTTTTTGGTGTTTCTGAAAAATGTGTATTGTTTTAGCTGAGAAAATTGACTTTTATCGAGTTTTAAACCACGCAAGCTTTTTGAGCTGCATGAAAATTATCAAAATCTCCTGCAACCAGAAGCTAAAAGTTATTTAATGAGGCCTTATGGTACAGGAGAAGTTCCTCCTCTCTTGAGCTGTCATCTAGAGACTTATTTTTCAACTACATCAAAATGTCACTCTGCTCTTCCATTCCCCCACACAAGTTGTGTCACACTCCAGCAAGAGTCGACATGGCCAATAGCTGGTGAACAGGGTAATCTTACAGCAGGGGCTTCCAGGAACCCAGGTGAAGGAGAAAATCAATCTGATAGGTCTCTCTCATCCCATCTCTAGTCAATGTATGTAATGTGTTCTCTCTATGTAATGTCAATGGGCTTAGTAATGTGTTCTGTATTTAATTTATAGTAGTTAATGCCATTGACTTTTATGAAACATGCATGAGCCACCACCGATAATTTCACATCCACACATTGGATGTACTGTGATTACATATTTGGAAAATGCAACACAAATGCTTTAATTTATGAAATTACTCTAGTTTAACAACTTGTGTTGCCCAGTTCATTATACAACAGATTTTAAATTATTAAAATTGTTAATGAGTCCAGTTCGTGTTCAGAAGTTCAACTTTGGTGATGATTAGGAGTTTGTAGAAGTTTTTTAGTCTGTAAATATACAACTTGCCAGATTCAACTGACAATAACCAAACTTGAATTATTTCAATAATTTCGATAGTATTGAAATCAGGGAACTTTCAGTAGTTTGTACAGACACTTCTAAACATCAACAAAATGTTAGATTGTAAATTCATATTTGGTGAAAATTCTGCCTATTTTCTTTTACAGTTTTTGTTGCAAAAATATTAGTTTTAAGAATTTTAATTTTTCTTAGCTCTGGATTTGGTGAGTGTCACAGACAAGTCAATGATAATCAGATGATAAAATAATTATGAGATTTGCTTTGTTATTCTCAGGCTTCACAGCAGTTTTCAGTAATCATTTCAAAAAATTGATTATTTATCATTTACATATATGTTGCTTTGATTCATAAAAATATTTTTAGAAAAAGATTGATATTTTGTCAATTTATGAACAAAACGCCCATTTTATTATCTCGAGATCGGAATGAATGTGTGAAAGAAAGAAAAACAAAATTTAAACAATGATGCTTTCTCGTTTCCTGTACCAACAATTAGAACATAACCATCTGTGAGCAATCAGCTATTTCGGTAATCAATGTTGAATTTTGATTATTTTTTTCTTCAAGATTTCTCTTTGTTCATGTAATACATTGGATTCTTAATATCATATTCAAATATATGACATGAATAAGTGCTACCTGTGCTTTCTATCAATTTGTGCAACATTAGTTACACTATTAGAATATTTATTTGCTTGTGTGCTAGTTTCATCGCAGATATGAGAAGAGATTTTTTTCTTGCTGGTGTTTGATATTAAATCCAGAATTACACTTCATAGTGGTGCTAGATAATTAGATTATATGAACATCATAATCATCATCATTATCATTTCTTTGTATCACAAATCAGCCATCATGGAGCCACGCGATACAAGCACCCCGCTTGGGTTCAGTCATGATTAGTGGGTAGGTGCACGTTACTTTTCTATTTCGGGGATCAGCATTTCACTGCTGATTCTCTTTTTACACCCCGAGGCTGTAAGCCCTGGGGGATAGTATGAAATGATGATGATGATAATGAAGATGAAGTAGACTCGCACACACAAACATACAGAGACACACTCTATTATTATTATTATTATTATTATTATTATTATTATTATTATTATTATTATTATTATTATTATCATTATCATTATTATTATCATCATTATTATTATTATTATTTATTGTTTTAGGCTTATCATCTCTATAATTACATTTTTATTGAAGCCCAAATCAATGCATATCCCTATTTTGCAGTATGTTGTTCAGCATGTTGATATATTTTTCAATTTAAAAATTATTATAATATATTAAATTTATATCTGTTTGAGTAATTAGTATGAACATGTAAACAATGTTACCAGTAATAATATATATATTTGACAAAAAAATGTGCATTCTATTGAAATAATATGCACTTAAATATTAACTTCATTTGAATCAATATTTTTTTTCTGTTAATTATATTGAGACTCGTTTCTGAATACCATACCTACAGATTATTAATTCATGATTTTGCAATAAAAACGTTGTTCTGATCTTCCTTTGCAAATCTAATATGGTTTCCAATAGTCTTAGAAGCAATTTTGAGAGTTTTGTAGCTGTTACATTGTCATTCTGATTTGGTTCAGGTTGCAGTTCAGTATTTTTCATCTCTGTTAAAGGGGCTTGAATTGCTGAGAATGAGGTGCATTATCTGCCCAATATGTGAGTTTTCTTCTACAAAGACAATTTGGTGGCTACTTACTACTTACCTGTGTCTTTATGGTAGAAAAGATTTGTTTCAATTTCTAGTACAGTTTTTCTTTCAAATAGTAAAAATAGCTATTCAGGTTCTGACAACAGTTAATTCTACTGATTTATTTGCAATTAGTATAAGTATTGAGTTGAGATAAATACCATAGGTATTTAAGTTTTTCATTTCATGGTTCATTCTTAACTAAAAGTTTCCCAACTATTTATTTTTGGGGTAATGATTAGTGTAATAGTAATTTGTTAGAAATTTAATTATTATCTGAAAAAATAAAAACTATTTCCATGGTAAAATATTTTTGTGATGTTATTGTAACTCAAACAGCAATGTGTATGATTTCCACTTTCTTATTTTAATGTCTTACTGTTTTCCATGTCTCTCATTACATTTCTCAGTACATAATATATGAGTTGTAGTGGTTATTGTTTATTATGTTATCACAAGGAATGCATGGAGCTCTGGCACTGATGTAGGTTTCCTGAATACTTGTGTGTTTATTAATTGGATGTTAGTTTTGAAAATGGAAGTATTGGTATGTGCTCTAAGGAATAGTTACATTCATTTGGCTTGTTTAAATTTCTAAAATTCCCTTTCTACTGCAATGATTTCCTGAATAATAATTTTTTTTATTGTTAAATACTGGGTTGTTGAGTGAGTAACAGAACTGTAGAATCTAGAGGGAAATTAAACCTTTTTGCATTTTATGCATAAAAGAAAATTTTTTATGTGCAGTATTTTCCACATATTTTTACTCATATTTATCATATATCTCTCACATTTCAACCTTGGGTTTTTTTTTGTTTTTTTTATCTGCCAATTTATTTAATTCTGAAAGTAAACCCAAATTTTCTCTTCAGTAATTTTTAAACTCTGGAAGCTTAGATAAATCCTTTGATTTGAAGAATTTGGAAATCTTCCTTTGGAATCTGACAGTTTGATCAATTTTTAATATTTTTCCATTACTGGTTGAGCGGTAACATTTGTTCTGTGATAAAACATGTGTGTGATTTTACCAATTTTACATATCAATACTATTTTTGATCTTCCCTTTTATTGTTTGTAATTGGTTATAATATGAATGTTGTCTGTAATGCTTAATATTGTAACTAGGATTTTGGAGGTACAACTGGTTGAATTTTGGAATATTTGTATGTACATGTCTCATGCGATGACTGGTTTATAGAATTTAAAGAATTACATTTTTAGTTTCATTTGATTGAATGTATGTTTTGAAATCCATACTGTGCACACAATTTATAATTATTGGTGTGTTTTTTTAAATTTATTAACACTATTATTTCAATAAATTGGGAGGATGATGCTCATGAAGTTTGTCATTGTAAATTGATAGTGATGTGACATTATTTTTCTTAATTGACCAAAGTTGTAATGTGTAGCATGCATGTACTAATGTAACTCGTGGAAAGAAATGAAGTGGTAGAACAACTATTCAATTCAGTTTCATTGTTAGAAGTACTGTGCATTTGTTTTAATCATACTTTTGGTTCTGTTACATCATTAAGATTTTATTTTTACACATTAGAAAGAGTAGTACTATAAATCTTGGAAAAATTGTAAATTTGTATTATTTTCTTATTTGAGGGTTTATACCTGTTTCAAGGAAGCGATTGGTGTTGTTTCCTTGTACTGTTGGAGATTTGTCAATGCAGCTGTGTTATGCAGAGGCGCTTTTACACATAGGCAAAGTAGGCAGCTGCTTATGGCACCAAATGTTGCGAAATTTGATCAAAATATTGTGAAATTTGAAACATATAAATAATATTTGAATAGTAAAAGAAATAAAAATAATAGGCATTAAAATAATAAAGGAAGCAACATGATAGATTATTAAAGATAAGATTCAAATGGGAGACTATAATATATTTTAGTATGCCCAATTTTTATTTGCCTATGGGCGGCAATGTCTCCAGAAGCGCCTCTGGTGTTATGCAATAGAAAGAAAATTATTCTATATAAATTAAACTGAAAAAAGTCTGTGTGAACATGATCACAAAAGATTGTTCTGATTTCAGTAGTTTTTATTGGCACAATTTTGATATTGTTCCACTTAGAATAGGAATTTTGATTTCTTGATTTATATCTTAAGTTCTCAGACTTCTCACATTTAATGCTACAACTGGTGTTGTATTTTTGTGCATTGTTGTAATTCTTTTTGTGTCATTATAACAGTTACTTTATTGAAATTGTAAAATGTGTGAATGCATTATTTTATGTACATTATGTGGCCATCCTCTTTTGAAGTATGATATTGCAGTTTGCACTAAATGACATGTTAACATTGTAGGTGAAAATACTTGAACAGTTATCATAATTGAGTCATTCATATAAACATTTTTCCTTTTTATTCCCCTATTAAAATGGCATCAGAGGCTAAATAGGATTGAATGATATTGAAATGGTTGCTTATTTAACTTTAAGGGAGTCCAGAAAAACACAAATTGAGAAAACAGAACCAGTTAAAAAAGAAAGTAAGGTATCAGAACACTCAATCATGTTATTAACATG